TATTTAATGCATTACTATATCACTATCATAAATATATCATTTTACATCAGTACAACTGTCACAAGAGCATGTCTAAAAGTTATGTTAATTAAAACACATCAATATCAATGTTTTTTTTCATATATGTGCACGAGTACCTTAGTGTTTCCCCACTAGTACCATCATGTGATAACTCTATCATACTCAGTCATGCGCATACAAACATTCAATCAAAATTATTATTTAGTAAAAATATATTTTATTCCCATTTTTGTATCAGTCAATATACTTATAAATCATTTAAATAGTGTCATGCACACATAGTCTTCTTATAGTATGAATAGAAATTTACTAGAATTCAAAATTGTGAGTTTGTAGTAATTACAACATAACTAATGAAAGTATTAATTAATATATTTGGTCTAGAAGAAGCAAAATATCACCATAGTAGAAGAACATGAGCACTCACATCGATGTCATTTAATTTGTTCTTGAATTTATATTAACCTCGACCCTTTTCTAAGCCTACAGTAACCATTAGTCTAAAATTTAATTAATTTATTATCTTTATATTATTTAAATGTTAGATTTATATTATTATATTTTATATAATCCTAATATATATATATATAAAGCCCAAGGTCTAACATAGAGTAGATATAAATAGGTTGTATAAGTGGGGTAAAAAAAAGACACCCTACCCACACGGTACAACACACACCAAAAATTCAAAAAAAAGAGAAGATACATGTAAGACTAAAAACCAAAACCGACAAAACTCAAAAACAAGTAGTTAGGGACGACTCAATTTAATTTTGCCTCTGTCTCTAGTTCTAGAAGAGAGCCAACTAACAAATTGGTGAGTTGCGTGTCATTACCCGTAGTAACCAATGTATCATTCATTAAATTTCTGAGCTCAAGTAGACATTCATTCTTCTTCTTCCTCCTGAATGTGTAAACCTGCCGTTCCTTATCTGAAGACTGGCTCATCTGATCAGTGTGTTGGTCAACAAATTGTCGGGCTTGAAAATGCTGATGAGCCCCTTGGGCCTGACTAACAGTAACGACATTCTCGTTCTTATGAGGTGTAGAACCGCAGCAGAAAGATTGCCAATCGTTGTTATAAAAAAAAAAGGTTCTAGTGTATGTGAAGTATGAATTGTTTCTGCTGCACTAAATACTTCCTGAAAACGAGGAGCTGCAAGACTCTCCTGATTATCGGTCCGAACATTGTCCTTTGTAGGTAAGGATCCTTCATTATTGTTTTCAATATGGTTTGAAGCTATAGGTTGCCTGGTAGAGCTATCCAACAACACATCAATCACAGAAATAGAAACAATATTGTCAGGTGGGGGGTCCCTAGAGACAATTAAATCAGACACCAACTCCTGTCTTGTGGCAATTTCCTCCGCAGTTAGAGCAGATGTATCATGAGCAGTGGGGTTAGCATATATATATATATATTATGTCAATTATAAAATCTTTATTAAATACTTTTTAATTAAAGCTACTCAACTTTAAGGCTCCCCATCCAATCCTAACCCACGCGAAAGCTTCCTCTGCCCCCGGGATGCAGTGTCCTCGACTTCTTTTCCTGTCGTCACCTCCTCTCCATTGTCCTTCTGCTCAGGGCTCCAAGCACACGCGGCCAACGACTCAGCTCCTTCCTACGCCACCACACACACACACACACACACACACACACACACACACACACACACACATAATTCATGCAGCTATTTATTGGCTTTTTATAATCATATTGATTTTTAGTACAAATACAAGATTACTGTTGCAAAATATAGATTAAATAATCAAATAAATAATTAAAATATCATTAATTGAGCATTTTATAGGGGTTTTTAGCCAGGTATTTGTTAAGCATAATCATGAACATGAATGAGCATATGGATGACTTTTCAAATTTGTCTTTTTAGTGATTGAGCCATCAAAGTTTTTTGTTCAAGCTTCGCCAAGAGGTTAAATGAATAAATGAGCCTCTTGCTGTTCATAGACTGAACTAATTCGCTTACAACCTTAGCTTCACTTGACACTTTTTCTTAATAGTGGCTGAATTTTTGTGAATAAAATATTCTCTGATTATTGCTTGATTTAATTTTCCAATTTTATTCTAACTGTTATCATTAAGTCAAGTATGTTCTGATTAAAAAGTTATTGTTTCATGACTGATGGCTCTAACGCTTTATGGTCACTTTCTTGTTGAAATGGATTCTTTACTTCTGATAATGGGATGAAGCACTTGATTACTAGGACTTCTGAGATGGATTAATCTTTGGAAATGACATTTTCATTTTTCTAAGATTTTGCTGAATTGAACAGCATAGAATGCATGGCTTAGTTTGGTCTTTGTTTTGACCTACGTTCTTGATGAATATGAGCGAGCTTATTTTGTTCCACAATAAGTCTTCTAGTAGTTCTTCTTATGATATTGATTAATGTGAACATGGTAGTTCTTGGCTCTACAGGAAATTGAAAGAACAAATTAATTGTCATCTAAGGTTCAAAGTGAAGTGGTATCTTGAGGATGGTAATAACACATCCCTTTTTCCTGAATTTGCTAAATAGAGAAGAGAAATCAAATTTGATCTGCCCTGTTTGGATAATTGTATCATTTCAAGCAATCTGAAATTATTTGTGTGTTCTATTCTCGCTGCAAAATATTTTTAGCAATCATCGTTCAGCATCAAGTCTTATGATCTGTAAAATTTATTTATTCTTGAATAATCCCTATTTCTATGGGTAAGTTCTTTTTTTTCCGGAAGAAATTTGATGTCTTTTCTTCTTTGTGCTGTCAAATCACTTGGACCTGACGATTTCTCTCTGTTTTTTCCCAAGGAATTTTAGTTATCATTCTTCATGTTCTTATTTCTATGCTTGCGGATGTTTAGCTTGTCCCAATTTCTCTCACATCTGCTTGATTTTTAAGATGCTTTACTTCTTAAAGGCTCAAGATCTATTAGTCTACTAAACAGAGCAATCAAAATCTTTATTAAAATATATGTCAACATCCTCCATGTTTCTCTACCAAATTTGATAGATATATCTCTTGGTTTTTTTTTTTTTTTTTTTTTTTTTTTTTTTTTTGTCGCAGAGGGTAGCATTTCCTCTTAGGAGCTATGTTTATTCTTCCCTAAAAATGAAGCGTTTCATTTTCAAGGTGAATTTTGAGAAGGTTTTTGATAGTTGTAGGTATGAACTTTTATTTAATACACTCTTGAGACTCTTTCATCTTTCCCCCAAAATTTATTTCGTGGATTATAGATTCTATTTACCAAGTTATTGTCAATTGTTATCTTCTTAAGCAGTTCAAAAGTTTTATAGTTTTTAGACACAGGTGATCCCCTAGTGAATAACATTTGGATTGATGGTTTTTGCTTCAAATTGAGTGAGCCCCTTGGTTAATAACATCCATTTGATTGATGACATGTTGACACTTGTTGTCTTGTGATGCTACATGTGGGCTCAAATTCAAGCCTTGTTCTCGTGAGAGAGTTTGTGTTTCCAGGTTAAGGTTTTAAAAATCAGATTAGATTTTTGGACAAGAAACTACTCAAAGATTTCATATTTATTTTGTGATGATTTTATAATCTTAGTTTAGGTTACCCTTAGACACAAGTCCCAATGGTTAGTTATCTCTTCCAATGGCTTAAGAGAATTTTTTTTATTAAGGCTAGTCATTAAATGGTAAACGCTTAGCATAGATTAGTGGCAGCTTGGTTGTAAATAAAATAAAATGTTATCTTTAGCTTAAAGCGGATGGTAGTGGGAGTGCTGATGAACTCGATCAAGATTCATGATTTCATCATCTTGAATTGTCATGGACCATTATTTATTTATTCAAAAGGGGTAGTTGACCCTGCATGATCAAAAAATTCTTGTCAGCAACCACGAGCTGTGTCGTTTTAATGGAATTTGAGGCCAGAGGCGTCTATTTTTATGAGGAGATAATTTTTAAATGAATCTTAGTTAATATAGAGCATTGTGCCTTATCATATGGATTATGATTCACAACTTGAGGGGGATGAGTCATTGTGGAACTGATAGGCTTTGGTTGTTATCATAATAAAGTGGTATCACTTTGTAGCAAACCACCCAACAGAGGCTCTAGTCTTAATCATTTCTTTTGTGGTGCTATTTGGCATCAAAACTACACGTTAGTAGACACATGCCACATTCTTTTTGATGTGAGATCCTTTGAAAATAGTTATAGATATATGTTTGTTATAATATTGACTTTTTTTAATTTGCCTGTGAGCTTTAATTTCAAGTTATTCATTTTTTAAAAACTATCATGGATGGTGAATGTATTATTGATTTAAGATTTAGGGCAGTAGTTTTCATTTGATCATGTTTTTTTTTCACAATTTTTCTTGAAGCATTTTATATTTGAATTAAGCTCAAAAGAATTTTCACTAGCATTTAGGGCATTTTGATGATAATATTTTCTTAGATTGAGATTTTGTATTAATGCAACTGCTATCGAGATGTTTGAATCATTTTATTATGTTGATTTGATCATTGTCAGCTATGCCCCCTTACCTTCAGAGGATTGGGCCTGTAAGTTACATATTATTTAATTTTGTTTTATAATTTATTGCATTACAAGCTTTGTCAACTCTATGATTGTATGTAGAGGGTTGAATTCGTAATTTGGATTTATCTTTATACTTTATGAGTGTATCATTTTGAGATATTTTCGTTCAAAAAATAAATTTTCTTTATAGAAGGCTTTGTAGTCCATTTGTAAATGTAATATCAATTTTTTTAGCAATTGTTTTTTAAATGAATATGAGATTTTTGACCCAAAATGATAAGTTTGTTGCATTAGATCTTGAATATATATTTAAACATCATTAATTTATAAAAGCTTTGTCAACTTCATTGCTCTTGATGTGGAGGATCAAACTTGCGGCATCCTGTAGAATGCGTGTGGTTTGATGTGTTTAAGTTTTGATCTAAAAATGATTTTTGTTATCTAAATAGTCGCAATTTTTTTGTAGATTGAAAGAAGAGAGAATAAATGGAAATTCTGAAGCTGTGCTTTCCCGCAAAGAGATGTTCGAGGAGGATTCTGAGGTTCTCTTGTGGGTCAGTAGAAGTCGGAAGCTTGAGGAAAAGAGGAGTACGGAAAAAGAGAAGGCTATGGTCCTTTCAAAGATGCTTGATGAACAGGTTACATTTGTAAATTCTAAAATTTTCCATTCAAAAGCATATTGTCCTAATTTTATGTCTTGGCAGGATAAAATTCTTGATGAAAGTGAGGATGAAGGGTCAGCTGATGACAGTCACAGTAAGTTATAGGTTTTTTGGCGGTTCTTTTTCCGAGGGCTTAATTCTGTTTTTAATTGTTATTTCACTTTGTCCACTTTCAGCAAATTTTCATATTCTTCTTGGTTCAGATTGCATTGGAAATACTTCTTATCTGTATTTTAGAAATTAATAAGCAGTTTCAAATGTTAAGCATCTTATTTTGGTACCGATTTCCAGAATATTTAGCTGGAGTGAAAGTTCTTCATGGCCTTGATAAAGTGATGGAAGGTGGTGCGGTTGTTCTGACCTTGAAGGATCAGAATATTCTTGCAGATGGTGACATTAATGAAGGTAGCATCGGTTTATCCTGAACATTAGGGCTCTTTATATCGACATGAGTTTCATATTTGCTTTTTGTTATAGAGGTTGATATGCTTGAAAGCGTGGAGATTGGCGAGCAGAAGCGTAGAGATGAGGCTTATAGGGCTGCCAAAGGGAAAACTGGGAAATATGATGATAAGTAAGATTTTAGGGAAGATAACCCTTTTAGGAGAGCATTATGTGAAAAAAAATGATTTGGTTTTTATTCTTTTTCGGTTTATTTTAGGTTCAGTGAAGACCAGGCTTCTAGGAAGACAATACTTCCACAGTACGATGATACAGTTGATGATGAGGTCAGTCATTTTAAAGTCCACCACTTCTGAGTTGTTTTACATCCTGTTTTCTTATTCTGCCTTTCTATTTAGGAAGTTACATTAGATGAAATCGGGCGCTTTACTGGTGAAGCAGAGAAGCAATTGGCCAAAGTATGTTATAGCTCGCCCCAACTACTCTCTTGTATTTAACAATATCTTCAAATTTTTTCCATAATTTATGATTCATTTTTGATTAATCTGGTGTAATAAACTTTTGTTGGTTTTTTTGATCTCTTGTTTCCTCTAGTTATTTGCGTAATCTGCTCTCCTGATTATTTATATAAATTAGAATTACGCAGCTGGTACAAAAATTTAGTGACAACAGGCTTTCTTTAATATATTTTCCATGTTTTTCTTTAATCCAAAAGACGTGGGCTGTCCTTTTATGACTTAAAATTTGTTCCTGTATTACACCAGTAGGCTAAAGCATTGCCATCTGCCCTATGTATACATTAGTCATTACATGTTTATGTCCCTTGCAATTCATGCATTGGTTGTCTAATCTTTATTTCCTTGTGCTGGGATCTGAAGTCTGTTTATAATATAATCTAATGCTTGTCAGTTACGCAGAAGGATAGAAGGAAACAGTTTGAAAAAGGGTTATCAAGACCTATCTTCATCTGGGAAAATTCAGTCAGATTACTTCACTACTGACGAAATGCTTCAATTTAGGAAGCCTAAGAAAAAAAAATCTTTAAGAAAGAAAGAAAAGTTAGATTTGGATGCCCTTGAAGCAGAAGCCCGAGCTGCTGGGTTAGGCCTTGGGGACCTTGGTACAAGGGCTGATATGAAGCGGCTGTCTGCCAGAGAGGAGGAAGAGAAAAGTATGGCTGAAGCAAGGAGTAATGCTTATCAAGCAGCATTAGCTAAAGCTGAGGAGGCTTCAAAAATTCTACGCGAGGGGCATTCTTTGATTTCCAAACCAGCTGATAATGACAATATTGTTTTTGGAGAAGATTATGAAGACCTCCAGAAATCTCTTGAACAAGCTAGAAAACTTGCTTTGAAGAAACAGGATGAAGTAGTTCCTTTTTCTGGCCCTCAAGCAGTAGCTCTTTTAGCTACAGCTCATAAAGATCAAGATGATGCTCAAGATTCTGCAGCAGGAGACGCTCAGGAAAACAAAGTTGTGATCACAGAGATGGAGGAATTTGTGTTGGGTTTACAAATTAATGAAGGTATTAAACCTTCTCGTTTTCTTTTGTCAGTTGTTTCTCTGAGAAAACCTGACTCTGTCTAATAATTACTGTTTGCGCTATTAGAGCAATAATTTCAATTTTTTTTTTCTATTTTCAGAAACAAATAATCCTGATTCTGAAGATGTTTTTAAAGATGACGAAGATGTTCCTATGTCAATTGATCAAGATACAAAAGGTGAGATTGGTAGCTGGACAGAAGCAAAAGAAATCGAAATGGATGAACTGTCCATTTCTGAAGAGAGAGGAAATATTACCCCAGACGAGATCATCCATGAGACTGCAGTTGGAAAAGGATTAGCAGGTGCACTTAAGTTGCTCAAGGATCGTGGGACGTTGAAGGAAAGCATTGATTGGGGCGGTAGAAATATGGATAAAAAGAAAAGTAAATTGGTTGGCATCTATGCTAATGATGGTTCAAAGGAAATTCGCATTGAAAGAACTGATGAGTTTGGTCGAATAGTAAGTCTACTTTTCTCTATGTCGTGGTTTTTTTTTTCCAGTCTTTTCATTTGGGCATGACTGCTTGCAGCTTTTCTGAAATTTTCTTTTATTTCTTGATACGGAAAATATTGTTCTGGCTTTATTTCTTTTATTAAATTGTAATGCCATGTCATGGATTGCACAGAGAAATAGTCAAGTCCCTTCATTACTTTGTTTCAAAATGAGCTCATGTTGAAGTTCCAAATGATTTTTGCAGAATAGGCTCAACACATCATGTATCCTATATCTGGAATGAATGTATAAAAGGTAATTCATAAAGCTAACCCCAAATAATTGAGATAAGGCTTTGAAAATGCTAAACTCAAGCTTTTGACCCAAGCCCGGAATGTTGGCTCAACCTGCTGACCCAACACGTTGTGACTTACACTTTGTTTTCCTCTGCGAACTGCTTCTAGTGCCCATGCCATTTGCGCACAACATGATTTCTCAGCATTCGTACTTGTCTTGACACTCATGCCAGCTGATCTTGGCTAGTTCATCGATCCAAGACTTACCCTAATAATCCTGCTAAAATAATTTTATTGTCTGCCTGTTATACTTTTGTAATTATTCCACTCTTATTGTATACCATATTTTTCAACCCTTAAATATTTTCTCTAGAACAGTTTCTAAGATTATTTAAATTGATCACATATGGTGGAATACCATATGAAAAATCAAATCTCATATTCTTGTCATGTTATCCAGGGGCATTATGTTTTTGCTTGACTTAGGCTTAACCTTCGACACTCTTGTTCTCCATTGCTGAAGCTTTCACATTATTGCCACAATCTTCTAGCTTCATTGTTGGATTCTTTCCTTTTTTTCCCCTAAATCTTGCATCATTCATCTTTGTTTTCTTGTCTCTGTCAATTTTTATGCAAACTTAATTTTTACCATAAGTTTTCTTTTCTTGATATTATGCTTCTTTGGAAATGAGGCCGACAACCCAAATCCAAGCTGAGAGTTGCAAATATACATTTAACATAATGATTGGATGGGAAGAACTATTTTAAGTGATCTGTTACAATGGCTCACTTTTTTTTAAAGGGAAAAGGAAAATGAGCTAATTACTTGCCATTGGATCTAAAGAAGGTGATTGCCAATTAATATATAGAATGAACATGACTATGGTGATGTATTGGCTATGGAACTGTATGATTCTTGATATAACTGATACATGCATGTTCTTTTAATCAAGAAAGGAAATATGGGGTACGTTTGAATCAAATATATTTTAAAGTTTGTAATGCTGCATAAACTTATGAAGATCAAGATATCATCCATAAATCGAGAAGGATGATTCTTGATGGAATATACCAATCAAATAAGGCTTGTAGTAGAAAATGGATGATTATTAATGCATCCAAATGGAATAAAACAAAGATGTAGCTCTTCTGAATTTTTTTTTTTTGTAGAAGACTGAATTTATACTTTTCTTACTGGTTTATAAATTGAGTTTGATGCTATTTAGGAATGTTGGATTTAATATCACTAAATGGAAGCATTGTCATTATTTGAGTTGAAGAAAGGTCTTCGACATTAAGAACTGTGACTTAAAGTTCTCTTCTATCAAGAACCACAACTAGTCAACCTTATAAAGTAGTTGAGATTCTCTATGGAATTAATTTTGCAAATACACTTAGAATCTGAAGGAAATATTTTGAAATTTCATGGCAAATCATAAAAGAAAATATAAATAGAAAAAAGGTCATATAAAATAGTAGGGACGTGCATACACATATTAAATGGGAGAAGGTAACACCAAAGAATCTCCTGTTGAATTTCAGAAAGAAGTAGAAAATTTGAAAAATTTGCTGATATTACTAGGAAGAGTACCATTGGATGGTGCTTGTTCCTAGTACTTTTTGATATTACCTCCTCTTTTAAAGCTCCAATAGTCTTAGAAATACCCATTTTTAATTCTTGCATCATTAATTCACGTGCTACAAGGCATATGACTAAATCATTAGACAAATTTATTTCATAGTCATTTTGTCTAAGTCTAATAATTATAAATTAAACATTGTTGGGGGATGCTTATAAACATATATGTATTTTGACTATGATCGATTGAGGACATTCTTATAAACATATCACTCGCACTCAAAAACGTACTCAATGAAAGTTATTCATCAACTTCTTATCAGCCAACGAACAAGGAAGCTTTTCTTATTTTAAAAACCTTTAATTCTTTCAAAAAAAAAAAAAGGCTCAACACTTGTCTTGGTCAGGTTTCTTTTTTTTATTAAAAAACAATTTTTAAGAATTTTATTATAAGTTTGTAAATATTTTTAAAAGTGTGCTTCACGTGAAAAGCGAAGCTAAGTGCTTAAAGTTTGCTTCTTTTCACTGAAGCGTGCTTCAAAATGCTGAAGCCCGTTTGGTCGTTCATGGTTTAGCAAGAGTAAATAAAGGCTTTGGTTTGGTGTTCGAAGGAGCACACAATCATGTTTGAGAGTTTGAGGAGCACAAGGGCGCTGAGCTTCGTCTTCAACTTTGGTCTAGATTTCGAAGCACGCTTCAAACGTTGCGATTTTCCTTCGATATTATCCTAGACTTTAATTTAGCTAACTCAATTCCTATGCATTTACATATGTAATACCTTAACTTCAATTTCTACATATTATATTTGGGTGTCAGATAGGTAAATACATAGAAATTGGGTAGTATTATGTAAATACCCCTTTCTTAGGAATTAGGGTGAACCGAAAAATATTTAGATTTTTGAGCAAATTTTGATTAATACCAAAACATTTTACTTCAAATTTTAATTTTCAAAAGAAATAAATATTTTCGCTCACTATTTGCCTTCAAGGTAGGTATTGTACTGTCTTTTTTATTTTATATAAACATTTAAGTTATACTTTATGTTTTATAATTGTTCATGAATGTATTTATAGAATAATAGTTTTGCATAAATATGAGCACTTTGGTTATAAAAGTGCCGCTTTGTTCTGCGGTTCGCACTTTGAAGCAAAAAGAAGGCTTTGCGCATTGCATTTTGTGCTTTGGTAACACTAATTTTTTGGTAATGGGTAAAATACTAATGTACCTATTTTTAAGGTGTGACACAAGAGCTCTATTAGAAGATATCAAAAGATTTATTTGAAGATATGGAACAAATTTTCAATTTATTATGCTGCCTTTCTTTTTTTTTATATATTTTCTAGTTTATACCTTTCATTATTATCTTTTGGGTGTTATTAGGGAAGATTTGGATATTATATTTTTCCTTTCTTATGCCCTTATCGTGCCTTTCCTATACCCTTGTATCATGTATTTATACTATTTTTACTGCTCAATAAGATTATTCTGCTCTATTCTCAAATCTAACTTGGTATCAGAGCCATGGTTCTAACTCTAGCCTCCGCAGCAACGCTTCACTAGCCGCCGACCACTTGGAATCCCTACAAGGATTCCGCTGCTTGCCACCTGCAGGCAGCCTCCAGCCGGCTCTCCTTTTATCAGATCTTTCTCCAGTTAGCTGGATCTACCTCCAGCTGGCCGGATTTGTCTTCAAGCAACCAGATCTTCCTCGTGAAGAATCTTCTAGCCATCGGACCTTCCTCTAACTGGCTCGGTCTCTCTCCAAGGTTGTTGGAACTCCTCCCTGAGGCCATATCTATTCCCTACAAGACCCACCGTAGCTGATTTTGTCTTCTACAGCCAGAAACTTCCTATGTTCCGGCAACCCAACATCACCTTTGGCTCATTCTGAATCATGACTGACTCCTCAATTACCAAGCTTATTTCTGACGGTGTATTTTAGTCCATTGGAGGATCAACACCAACCTCAATCCCTCCACAGACAGAAGGCCCGGAAAACCTCATGAACTTCTTGATCACTGCTCATAAACTTAACGACTTTCATTTTCTCCAATGATCCAAAGTCGTGTCATTGTTCGTCAAAGGACGTGAGAAGTTTGGTTATCTCACAGGGATGATTCACAAACCTTTGAAAACTGATCCGGAGTATGGAGCCTCGGAAGTAGAGAATTTCATGGTCATGTCTTGACTGATCAAATCCATGGATACTACGATTGTTCGTTTGTATCTGTCTGCAAGTGCACTATGGACGACAGTCCGGGATACTTACTCGGACATAGGAAATTCAAAACACCTTTATGAGGTTTTCAAGAAGATCCACGAGGGGAAATAAGGATCAAGGATCGTGACCCAATACTACAATGACTTAGTGACCTAATGGATGAAATGTCATATCTACTATGACTACACATGTGATTCTCTGGCTGATCTTTTCATCTTCCAAAAAATTTTGGAAAAAGATCATGTGTTACAATTCCTGACTGTTCTAAGAAAGGATCTTGACGAAGTCCGGAATTGTATTCTTGGTCGGGATCTTTTCCTTCAACTCGAGCTACATTCACCAAGGTGAGCCGCGAAGAAATTTGGAGACTTGTCATGCTTAACACTGTCACTTCTTCAGTCGAACTGTCCTCCTTCGTCTCTAATAGTGCTCGACCCTCTTCCACGTCATCACCGACGAATCACTCCATTTGTGATTATTGTCACAAACTCAAACATACTCTTGACAAATGTTGGATGCTCCACGGAAAACCAACGAATAAACCTTCAGCTAAATCCTCCGCAGCTTAGGTCTCGCTACGACCTCAGAAGCCACGAGAGTACTACCGGCTTCACTCCCACTCAAAACATCTCAGAATTACCTGACTCCATTAAGAGTCAGATGAAGCACTTGATCGAACAACTTAGATCTAGTTAATTCTCTTCCGACTCGTCGATTTCTTATGTTCGTCAAAGTAACATTTCGATGGAACTCACTTTTTTGCTTATATTATGTGGATTATTGATTCAAGTGCAACAAACCATATTACCGGATGTTCTCAAGCTTTCTCAACATATGCTTTGTGCTCTGAAAGAGATACCGTTAAAATTGTTGACAACAATTGTTTCATTGCGGTTAAAGGGTCCGTTGTTCTAATAGCAGACATGAC